AGAGCTTTCGGAGCATTAAGTGAGTTTACAAAGGAGTTCTAATATCCCCAAGTCGTGTGAGAATACTTTGACTCAAGCCTGAAAGCAAGGAATATAGCAAACTTCAGAAATTTTGTAAGGCGTTAATGGCTGAAATGATCTTTTAATGAATGAGCCCTAGCAGAACTAAAGCAAGCAATTGCTATTCTAGTGGCCAATCGCATTCTCATGTTCCAACTTTGCAAACATGCTTTTATAACTCCTGCGTTTTATAGAAATCAGAAGCCAGACATCCAGGATTTGTAAATGCTGAAAGAGACTGCTCGAATCCTCCCATGGAATTCAATGCCAGTGATTATTCGTCAATTGCATGGTCAGAAGAAGGGAGTGGCAAATTTACGAGAGAAGAATTATGGCAACTCACTGTCAATGCCGTGTTTCTTACATATTGCCTTTCAGTAGGTGCCTGTTCACAATTGACAAGACCACTTGTCGTGACAATTTTAATCAATGTTTAACCTTTTCACAGTTGAGTGGATACCCCATGAAATGGTTTGACGAAGCAAAGAAGAACTTCTATGAATACCCCTCCTCCACAAATAGACCAGCTAGCATTCCTGCAAGTTGGATTGCAGCCTGCATGCTATATCACTTGAAAGCTGTACCGTTCAGTTCAACTGCTTATGTGGAGTATCAAGGGCACTCGAAAAAGGTGGCAATTGCACAGTGCATTTATCCAACCCCAGCCCTCATTAAACACTCCTGCAATCCTTCTGCCTCTCTAGTGAATACTGCAGACGGAGGGGTGTTTGTCTACGCTGTGCGTTCACTACGAGCAGGTGAAGAAATCTCCATCACACTCGGACCCCACTTTGCTGAAATGAAGGCTAATGAACGAAAGTCCTTTCTCAAAAAGCATTATCGATTTGATTGCTCGTGTGAAGCCTGTTGCAATGAGTGGCTCTTGAGGGAGGGAGTAGAGTTGATCAAATGTCCTTCCTGTCAACACCTCAACATTAGCCGTGCTAATAGGTGTTCGCGTTGTAAGGATAGAAGTGGGATTTGTATTTATAAACTTCTGATGGGAAAGGACATGCAACTTCTTGCAGATTGCGTGGCTGGGAATGAACGGAGCAGCGAGAACATACTTATGGCATCAACTATAGTAGAACAATTTCAGGCACTTTTGTCACAGCCAAGTTTAACCCTTTGTAGAGTTATTCATATATATGCAGATTTAGTTGCGAATGCGCATGGCGTCGTTACTTCCGATCCTATATCAAACGTTGATGAGAAAATTGCTCACATACAACTGTAACCACTTCGTCCTCCTGTCGGCTTTCTTTACCTGAGACTCAAGCTGTAAGAGTTTTCGTACGTGAAAAAATATGAATTTGGTTAAACTGGTTTCTATATTCAATTATTGGTCTGGAAATATAGGAACGATTGATGAATAGCGTTTCCGTTTGTCCACCAGCCAGAGAACAAAGAAGATCAATCGATTTTAAGCAAATGAGGATGAGTTGTAGGCAGTGGAGAAGAAGACGGAGGAAGACTGTAGTGTAACGTTGGCAGTTGCCCTCGGTTGTCGATATGCCGACATGTGTATTCATGGCTAATATTCACGAGCCTACAACAACTTTGCATTTAGGATTCTTCTGTGTAGACATATGGTGTCTTTATGGCTTTGCGTTCAATTTCTAAAGCCGTTTAGTAAATCAGTCAACTCAGTGGGTGAAAATAGGCTGTACAGTGAAGGTGGTTTGGTGTCTATTTAAAAGTGTGTGATTGGAGGGATGGGTCAGG